CCATTCACTTCCCATCCATTGCAGACAAATGTTAAACCATTGATCATCACCAAACATGCTCCATTTTATATGTGTTTATTAATTTTTAAAATTATATTTTATTCATTCTGTATGCATGTGTGAGTGGATTGTATGTGTAGTACTACTACAGCATACATAGTGAGATCAGAGGACAACTTGCGGAATTTGGATTACACCTTCTACCAGGTGAATTGAGGAGACCGAACTCAGTCATCAGCTTTGGCAGTAAGCCTCTTGGCCCACTGAGCCATTTTGCCAGACCTTAGATATACACTTATTTTACTGTTACCTCCCCTTAACCAGAATATCAACTCCTTCGTGGAAGAGAGTTTTGCTTCATTTCATTATTTATTTTATTAGTCCTTAAGCTCTGTCTTCATTCGGATAATCATAGTTGGCCCAGTATCTACTGGTTGACTCTGTAACTCCTGCCTCTGTTCATCGCGACACCATTTTAGCCTGAGCCACTCCTCTGCATAACAATGTATCAACTAGACTTCTCACTATCAGTTTTTGAATGGTCAAACTCTTGGAAAGTAGGCTCATCATTCTTTCTGGTGATTCCACTCAGAACTGCATAGGCTTCTTATTGGCTTCTTAGGTTAATGACAATGGGCGAACCAATTGTTAGACAACCAATTTTCCTGCCTTGAAAACCATTGGCAGACCTGCAGAGAGCAAAGGAACTTATCAGTTACTTTTCTCTTGGCAGTGACAAAATGCCTGAGAAACCTAAGAAAGGGTTTGGTTTGTCTCAGTTCTGTGGCCGTTAAGTTCACTCCATGCAGGAGGATAGGCAGATTTCATTCACAGTCAGGGAGAAGAGAGAGATGTATGCTGGTGTATAGCCAGCTTTTTTTTTTTTTTTTCAGTTTTATTGCTTCCAGGACCACACCCTACAGAATGGTGCTGCCCACCTTCAGAGTGGTTTTTCATGACAGTTAAATCTCCTTGGAAACATCCCCATAGGTGTGGTGGTTGTGTTCCCCAAAATATTGTGCACCCTAATAAACTTATCTGGGGTCAGAGACAGAACAGCCACAATATTAAACATAGAGGTTAGGCAGTGGTATCATACGCCTTTAATCCTAGCATTCCAGAGGCAGATATCTACCTGCATCTCTGTGTGTTCAAGGATACAGCCAAGCATGGTGACTCACGCCTTTAATCCCAGGGAGTGATGGTAGAAAGCAAAACATCATCATAAGAACCTCATGGGATGTGCTTCCTGGATTTCCATTCTACAGATGTTCTCTCTTTGGCTGTAAATTTAGTTGCCTGTATATTATATAAGCACGTATGATGGTTGGTGTTAATTGTCAATTGACACAATTTAGAATCACCTTGAGAAAGAGTCTTGTTGATAGAATGTCTAGCTCAGGTCGCCCTGTGGGCAACTCAGGTTGGGGGGGGCGGGCCATGAATATGCAGCCTAAAGGTGCTGCATTCCCTAGCATTGGGTCCTGAATTGTCCAAGAGTAGAGAGAGCTAGCTGAGTGGAAGGCATGCATGCGTTCATTTCTCTCTGTTATTAGCTGTGGATGTAATGTGACGACTTGCTACAAGTTACTGCCTCATCTTCCCCACAATGACAGACTGTGACCTGAGACTGTGAACTATAAAGTAAGCCCTTTGTCTCCTCATTGCTTTTTTTTTTTTTTTTTTTTTTTTTTTGGTCAGGGTGTTTTATCACTGCACCCAGAATAAAACCAGGGCACCATATATGTGTAATATCTCACCTTGACAACCAGCCACCATTCATTTGGCTGTCTTCTCATTGATAAATGTGTCTTATGCCCTGGCTTCACCCAGGCATAGTCAGTCACTGTCATCACTTCTTCGTAGAGAGACATCTACAGAACAACTGGAATCTCTAATAAAGCTGGTGTTGAAAAGTTAGAAAACCAAACACAGGATGTATCATGATGGATGCTTGAAGATAGACCACAACAACAACAACAACAAAAAACCTATTTGGAATAATGCTACTTTGTTATATGATATTTAAATTATTTCAGGGATTTTAGGACCTGTCATTTTACGTTGTGATATAAATCTAATTAAATATCACCTTTAAATGAAACAAATTAGTTTTTTTTTCTGTTATACTGTCAAAATAGTAGTTTATTTGACAAAGAGAAAAAAATCTGTAGGCTTCAAACCTGACAAGTAATTTTAAAATATAGACTATCTGTCGAGTTAAGTCCAGTAGATCTGGCCTGTGTCAGGCTGTTGTAGATTGTACTTTTGGATGGGGGAAAACACCAAGCATGAAGTTAGAAGTGCTACAAGATACACTGTCAGTCATCTCAGGAACTTTCTCTCTTCATTACTTTATTCCATGCCTTCAAATGTCTATTACACAGCTTTGAAGTTGTATACATTGCTGCTTACCAGAGCCACATTAGGCTTTGAGTGTACAGTTAAATAGTACCAACTGTATGGACACTGCTGTATGAACCATCATCAGAATTCTCTTTCTGTCCCTGAATTTCCCTCCTCTACACATCTCACACAACAGACACCTTACTGTATTTGCAGGGCTGGTTTATTTCACTTAGCCTAGTGGCCTCAAGCTTCATCCATGTTCTAACATATGTTAGATCCCTGGTTGCTTTTAAGGTGAGCAATATCTCTTCCATTAACACATTTTGTTTATCCCTTCCCCTGTGGATGGAAAACTGGAAGTGGTTTGCCTTCATCCTTGGACTACTGTAAAGAGAGATGCTGTGCACACATGTGTGTAGTCTCTCTTAACTCTCTGGGTTGGGCCGATTACAGAAATGAGGACCACTGTGGTGCATCATACTGAAGATTAAATAACTCATATCAAATCACATTCTATATTGCCTAATACAACTCAGGTAGTTACTTAGCACTGGTGTGTAAGCTTGGAGCCTGGAAGAATGGTTCTGTGGTTAAGAATTTCCCAGACAGTGTTGCTGTTGCCAGTGGTAGCAAGAGAGCTGGTGGGTAACATTGCTAACATTTTAAAATTTTAAAAGGAGCCATTAGCTTCATGTTAGAGTGTAGACAAAAATGTGACTAGCATATCAAGCTGGCTGTTGTGCAACTATCATTGTTTGGAATGTGACTAGAAATTATGTTTATGATTTTTTATTTTAGTATTTAAAAAGAAAAAAAAGCAAAAATGGGGCTGGAGAGGCAGCTCAGCAGTTAAGAGTGCTTGCCGCTCTTCCAGAGGAGGAAAGTTCACTTTCCAGCACCTACATGGGGTTCAGTAGTTTACAATACCCTGTAAATCCATAGTTTTTCTTTCTTCCTCTCATTTCCTTCCTTCCTTACTTCCCTCCCTCTCTTCTTCCTTTCTTCCTTCCTTTTTCTCTCTGTCATTTCAAAAAGTATTCCTCTCAAGAGAAACTCATTTACCTCATGTGTTTTGAGAGTCATACAAGACAAACTACCATTTATAGTCATTTCTTCTCTGAAGCTGGTTTTGGTGTAGGTAATGCTTCCCAAATGACTGGAGCTTTCTCTAGCCTGTCAGCACACCTATGTTGATAGAACAATCCATGCTGAAGGATATTATCTGAATTGCATCAAATCAAACCTGCCCTTTTATATACTGCTGTCAGCCACAGAGATAGCAGACTTCAGGATAATGTTCTAAATTCATTCATGACATCTGGATAGAGCGACACACTGATTAATATTTCAACCCAAAGTATCTGCCATTGATCTTGTTATCACAGCCTCACAGCTCAGACTTAACTGACTGAAACTCATTGTTAGTATCCATACACGAAAATGTTTAAAGCTATGTAGAATCATATTAGTGGCAGCACAATAAACCAAAGAATGCATAGGCAATACCATTTGGTGTGAGGTTATTTATCCCATACTGTATCCTGGAGCATTTCTCATCTTTAAATCCAGCTGTATTTCCGTCATGGCCTGAGTCAATGATGATGTTCAGAATTTTCTGCAGAGAGGCACTCTGTTTCTGTTAGGTCATTTTCCATTGCAAATCTAGTTATCCAAATCTCATCTTACGTTTCAATCTACAAGGATGAACTGTTTCAGTACGACTGTAGACAATTGTGATGCTGTTGACAAATGAGTAATATGTCTGTTGTTTTGTGATTGTAAAGAATCGGACTCTTTAGTGTCCCTTCTGTTCTTCTGAAAACAAACAGAACCTGCCACTTTCTATGCCATCCCACACCTCCACACACACACAAACCCACATATACCCACTACCCCTCACCAGTATAATTTTCCTATCTTGTGGTCTTGTGGAAAAACTAACTGTAAATTCAAGTCTATAAAATTCAAAGAGTTTCATTAATTCTCTAATATAATTCTCATTAACTTTTTTAGTCTTTTGCATTATTTTTCTCAAAAACTGATTTAAACTTGGAAAATGAAGACTTTAAAATATGGACTCTCTGCTGCGATTTTTCTTGTGTGTAGCTATTACTTCATGAGAATGAATCTGAGTAATCCTGATTTTTTTATTGCCTCTCATTTTTCCAATCTCATCATACGAGGAGACTGGCTTAAAAATCATCCACACTTCATTTCCTGTGACTTTAATCTGCTATTTGGCAATCTCTCTCCGCCTCTAGTATGTATCAAAGCAAGTCCCATGGCTGCCTTCCATGCTTGACTCAGCAACAAGCAGCCCCCTAGTGGTAGATAGAGGAACTGCCTTTCTTCACCTTTGAACATGTTTTGGTATGGTATGGTATGGTATGGTATGGTATGGTATGGTATGGTATGGTATGGTATGGTATGGTATGGTATAGCCGATTTTCTCATAATTTAAACACAGTAATCTTTCATAAAGAAATATTTTAAAGATCCTCCTTAGTTTTTTCCCATTCCATCTCTGCACCATGAGTTACCAAGGAGAGTTCTCTCCATCCATGAGCCTCCTAGAATATTAAATTGTCTGTTTTATTTGAAATATGACTCCGTGCATAAATCCGTTTTAATTTCTCCTTTTGCATTTCAAGCTCCCAGTCAGCCACCAGGAAATGTCATTTGGAATGCTACAGACACTAAAGTGTTACTTAATTGGGAGCAAGTGAAAGCAATGGAGAATGAATCAGAAGTAACAGGCTACAAGGTCAGTTGTGATTTAGACTACGTTTCTCACCTTTGCAAACATACTCCAAGGAAAGCTAAGTTGAAAGGGAATTTTTTTAATGTTAATGATACGGTTTTTTAATCTAATTTTCACATATCTATCAAGCTTTTCCTAAAAAAGCATTTCCTCAAAATATCTGACTTGTTAAATACTGCTATGTGAGATAATAATCTTGCTTATACTGAATTCAAACATGATGGTTATAACTTGTATTATTTACTTTCAATGCTCACCAAATACTATCTTAAAAACAACTATAAGTGTTGCCCATGATTTTGTGCCTGTCCCAATGAAAGACACATTCCACATGGCTGTCTGTTCTATCCTCAGCATGAGCATTTTGAAGGAGGAGAGGCAGGAGGCATGGCTTCCTACTGTCATTTTTCACATCCTGAAGAGTTCCCTAGACTTTTACTGATGTTAGCATAGGCCAAACTATATTCATAACTTCAACCCAAGAAAGGATTTCAGTTTTATCCAGTTTATGAAGCAGAATTGGGTTTAATAATGACATGTTAGCTAGTTTTAATCTTTAGAGTTAAGAGAAAGAAAGGTGCCCAGAAGGGAAGACAACACATACTCTAGAGCATGGCTGTGGGCTTCTTAAAGAAGATGCACACAAAACAAGACACACCTAAGTGTAGCTACCATATCCTCAAGGAAGGGTCATGCTCATTGTTTTTTATAATAGCATATAAGATATTATTGGGCTTTGAAATCACTGTAGTCACAAGATTGCTAAGAAGCTTAAATGATTGTTGGGAGTCTGCTGAGAGGCAATTGGCAGGATTGCAGTTGGTAAGTTAAAGTCTAACTCAAGAATTCTGGAAAATAGGATCTATTTGTTTTATACAAATATAACAGTTTTGTTTAAGATCCTCAGAGTGTACTGCTGAAAAGAATGAACCCTACCCAAGGACAAGGCCCTACCCAAGGTCTTAACACCTTCTGCATTAATTCTGGTTCATTGTTACTTTATACAAAATATATCAGAAACAGAATGTTAGCTTCATGTGGTCAGCCTTTATAACAAATGTAAATGGTTCAAAATTTGCTTCAAGGCTGGAGATAGGCTTCAGTCAGACTCTGGAGCAAGGGTATTCTCCTTTCACATGTCCCATAATCTCCCAGTATTTCTGCCCTGTACCACTCACCAATACCCAACCTAACTGAGGTTTTCCATAGAAAAGGTTCAGTATTCACTCAACCTCCTCAGTTTTGAGAACATGATGATTCCACTATGTTTATGATATATAAACTTAACTTGGAGTGCACTTTATATTCTAGGGGTGTAGAGATATAAAGTCATTTTTGAAGTGACAATTTTGTAAAGGACATAAAAGCTGGCTGTATAAAAAGTGTGTTTGCTTCTGTTTTCTAGGTTTTCTATAGGACTAGCAGTCAAAATAATGTGCAAGTACTGAACACAAATAAAACTTCAGCTGAACTTTTGCTACCTATCAAAGAGGACTACATTATTGAAGTTAAGGCCACCACAGAAGGAGGGGATGGCACCAGTAGTGAGCAGATCAGGATTCCAAGAATAACCAGTAAGTTGGCTGAACTCATTCCCTCCTTCACTTCCATCAGTGTCATTGGACCCTATAATGAGTCAGTGATTGACATGCTGCCTATCAATTTTTCCCAGCATGCCTTAGGTATACATGGGGCATCTACTATAAGGATGGGAGAAAAACATGGGAGAAGAAAAGGCATTAAACACTATTTATCAAAATGTCTTTCTTTTTTAATTCCTTACTTTGAGTTCTCCTTACATTTGCCTTGGGATTAACTTCCCAAGCCCAAATTCCCTAAGCATTTCTCAAGAGTAGTATTGAGCCACACAGAGGTTTTCACATTTTTTTTTAATATTGCTAGGTATGGAGACTCAGGCAAATAATCTCAAGATTCAGGAGTCCCAACTAGGAAGATCCTGAGTTCCAGACCAACCTAGGCTACATCATTAGTTCAAGGGCAGACAGCCTTGGTTATATAGTGAGATCCTGTCTTTTTCCAATTGTTTGTCCCCTTTTAATTGCAGGCAAAATATCAGTTCTTTCAACAGAAAAATCAGCATTTGTAAACTCATAATCCAATTATATATACTGGACAGAAAGACAAGATCTTAACATAGCTATTTTGAATTTCACAGGGGCTTCACAACTAACTTTTCCTCTGAAAATCCAAAGAAATTTATTCTACTACAGAAATTTCCATTTCTGAGTTTAGGGAAACAGACTTGTGCATACATATTTTCTCAGTGAGAAGGCAAAATAGATTTTATCTTTCCTTTTACATCCTGTCTGGAGTTCTCCAGCCTTGACTGAAGTACTATAAAGCCCATCTTGTTGGACTTAGTCCTGTGCTTCTCAGTGATACAAATAGAATGGCTCCATCTTTCCATGTATTGATCTCAACCTTGTCCGTAGCACTGGGCAATCAAGACTGCAACTATAACCTTTAATCTTTAAAATGAAGTAACTGCCATTAGCAACTGAAGAGGGGAAAATTTGACAACATGAGGAAATTTTATTTTCTGTGAAAATATCTTGACTAAAGCACACAAATCCAACTATCGTAGGAAAATGGCAGGTAATGATTTCAACACTTAACTGTGCAAGTTCATCTGTAAAAGCCATTTCAGGCTGGGGACTATCCCAAAAATCTGCAATTCAATAGAGTCTGTTGAATAGACCAAAAGAGAAACTGATTTACATTTATTATGAGTACTGTACATTTGTTTTAAAAATATTAAAAGAGTGTGTGTGTGTGTGTGTGTGTGTGTGTGTGTGTGTGTGTGTGTGTGTGTGACTGCACGTGTCTCTCTAGGTCAAAAGGGGATGCCATTTGGATCACCTGGAGCTGAAGTTACAGGTAGTTGTGAGGTTTTGAACAACCTGACATGGAAGCTGTAAATTCTGGTCCTCTCCAAGAGCAGTGCTCTTAATCTCCGGGCCATCTCATCTCTTGCTCCCATTGTTTTAGCTTTTAAAATAATACACTCTTCTTATTCTTTAATAGTGTGAGGTGTAGAGTTAAAATGACAATACAGACAATGAGACTGGTAATACGACTAAGCACTGTGCTTCTTTAGAGAGAAGCATAGAGGGATTTGAGTTTAGGGACCACTCTTCCCTCTGCCTGCTCTCTCCCTTCTATCTACAATAAAAAATCTTCTCCATACTTCAGGAGTAATCATGTCTTCCTTCATTTATTCCATGTTTTCATTCAGCCACAACTGTCTATTCTAGAGCACTGACCCTGCCTTGTTGTTGATCTTGTGCAGTCAGGTGACTGCACAGGGCTGTCTTTGAAAATGGAGTTTCTATTGATTCACTTTACAGAGGTGATATTTCATATTGTGTATCTGCATAGAGACAAGCAAATTTTCTAAACCTTTATCCCATGAATCTTTGTTTAATTAAACTATCAAATTATCTCACCAGTTGTTTGTAATCAAGTCTAATCATTTTCACAACGATGAAGTTGTTTTTCCAATTTCAATTAAAGTTTAAGTATATGAAATGAACAGACTGGAGCCATTTACTAACACTTGGACATACCGGTGACTTATAGGTACTCCGAGCAGCCAGAGTGTGCTACTGAGGGAGATAATAAGTACTGTGATCCTAGGTTAGGCTTGTGTGGTAATTTAATTTTGAAAGAACAGGCATTACTTTTGTTCTTATGTGTCTTAGTTCATTCAAACTACTATTATTTTTTTTTAGGGAGGAGGTTAAAACAGGGTTTCTCTGTATAACCCTGGCTGTCCTGAAACTCAATCTGTATACCAGGCTGGTTTTGAACTAAAGATCTGCCTGTCTCTGCCTTCTGAGTGCTGAGATTAATGGCATGCACCACTACCACCCATTTCAAACTACTTTTATAAACATGTCATAAGGCACCTGCAGATTCACAAACATTTTCAAAATATTCCATACCCAAATTTTACAACAGAAACTGAGATTCCCTTTTTGGGTTCTTATCTCATTAACAAAGGGATTTAATGGACTCACTACCTCACTTGAGTGCAGTTTTATTAGAGTTTAGGAGAAAAACAGTAGGGCAGGCAAACTGTCAATCTGGCAGCTGCCCAAAGGAGGGAGATGAAGAATAGGAAGAGGAAAAGGTCATGCTTTTTTGCAATGGAGGCCAACAGCTTCATGACAAAATGACAACAATAAAAAAGAGATTAAGAGCCTTGGAGAATGAGTAAGAAAGCCCAGAGGGTCTGGGATTGTTTGCTTAAGGCTTTTGGCCAGTATCCAAAAATGAGACAAAGAAAAATAAAAAAAATAATAATAATAATTAGGACTCAAAAGTAAACAGGTCACATGGCTAGCCTCCATAATGCTGCCTGATGGAAAGTCTGCAAGTGTTTTCACTAGGGGCTTCTAGGAAGTAAAAGTATATCATCTTATGCAGGGGATAATTATTCCTCCCATCTTAGCATGACTTCAGATGATTCAGGTTTCCTGGGGGAGTAGACTCCTGGCTATATAATTAAATGGCCCAGGCATTGTGAGAGAATGTATAGTGAATTCTTTTGTCTAGGAGAAAGTGTATCTGCCCTAGAGAGCCTCAACACAGCCCTGTTGCCTTGGCCTTTTCACATGGTAATTTAAATCTAAAGAATATCAAAGCTGATGCTTAAGACTCTTGAGTTACCAGGAAAGCCTGGGTTGGGGTCCAAAGTTTTAAAGGCCTGCAAGGCTACTACTGTAGCATGAATATTATCACAACTGAAGACAGGATTTTAGCATGATTCCAGAGAGAACAGAAACATGCAGTCAATCATGTCCTGATCACCTTTACTAATGAACTGTTTATCATCTTTAACAGGTATGGATGCGAGAGGATCTACGTCAGCCATTTCTAACATTCACCCTGTGTCAGGTTATATACCAGTCCTACTGTTCTTTATTGTAAATGCTTTGTGGTGATAGGCTTTTTTATTATTTACTGGAAAATTAATTGGTTACCCAAAAAAAGTGCTTTCTGAAACAGTGATTATGCATGTTTTTTCAGCTGTGTGTTTTTAAATTTCTACTCCATTATAGGTAAAATATGAATATAATAAAAACAGTAAATCCTTTTAGAGGAATCTGAAATGCCTTAATATTTGCTTGGTAAACCAAAGGAATTTGCAATTTACACACTGCAAACTTTTGATATAAATATTCCTATGTTATGAGTTTAAGCACTGCCTATGTGAGGCACATATAAACACAGGATACACAGAAAACACAGTGCACACATGATATGTAAAAACAAATAATACATATACAGTATACAAAGAGATATGTATAAACACACACACACACACACAAATACACACAGTTTTTCTATACTAAAAACACTTATTTATTCCAAATGTTCTTTTCCCATTATTACAGTATCATCTATCATTTTAAATTACCAATTTGAATCCCTCAGAGTAAAAAAAAATAATGCGCTTAGTTATGCTGGGAGTGGCCTGTGATTCTATAGGGTATTATTAGACAATGCTACTCTGAGCTTGGGCAAGTGACATTTGCTTCAGTGTACTCTATGACTTCGAGGTTCCCCTAGTCACTTTGTCCTCTCATCTCTGTTATTCATTCTGTGAAATGAGGTGGTATTATTTCTCCTATCTGCCTTTACTGCGAGAATTAGTTGTTAAAAGAAAAACACAGAGGGGAATATGAAAAGCACTGTTTTCTCCCACATGCAGTGTTCCTGTGCAGAATCTTACCTGAACTTTCTAAAGAGGCGTGCAAACCAGGCATGTTTTTGAAGCTTACTAGCATTCCATGCTCTCTCTGTGGGATTATCTGTCTCACTCAAAGATGGAAATTGAACCTGAGTGAATATTATAACATCTTTTGTTTTTGTTCATATTTATAAAGAAAAGATGGTACCTGGAAATGAATGCATTTCATCCTGTCTCAGAATTAAAATGAAATTTATTAAGGACTCATTCCCTCCCCATGTAAAAATAAGCTTTCAGGGTTTTTTTTTTTTTTTTTAAACCCAGTAGAGTAAATAAGGAACAACCTATATCTTCACTCAAATATGAAACAAAATGCACACAATTCTTCATTTCCAATTTCTGATTCCATTAATGGGGGACCTCTCTCTGTTTGGATGGCAAGGATGTTTCTTTAATGAAATCCCGCTGTCTGTCTCATCAAGTCAGGCAGGCTTTTTCGTTCCCGAGTTAAATTTGTAATAGACCATGGTGATGCTGCTGGCTTTGATACGGATGACTCAGCCTTTCAATATGTGGTTTTCAAAAGCCTGTGGAAGACATGACTTCACAGCAATATGTAAAAAGTATATGAAAATCAGCAGATTGAGTGTTAGACATTCAAAATCAATTTTTTACCTCTTGCCTACCAATTTTATATTTTTCTGGAATTTGCTCATATTATCAAAGTTAGCAAAATTAGAAACCAATGAGGTAGCTCTCAAGAAACACTAAAAATTAGCCAGAGCCTGATACCATTTTAGTGTACCACCCTTCCTTCAGAGATTCCATTTAAGTCAAGGTCACTATGTAAAAAGGAGAATGATTTTTTTACGATTCTCTGTAGGGTCTGTATATATTGTACATATCCAGAAGAAATCTGAATGACTAGTTGATTTCCTATGACCATTGTTATTTCCAGTCAAAAAGTGGGGAAGCACTTCCTGCAATCCCTATGCTTTACAGTACATGTAACAGAACTGTACCTTTTTATTATCTGATGACTCCTTGAATTTGTTCCTATACTTTTCTTTTGCAAGATGGTAATTCTCTTTTTTCCTGTTATTTCTATCAGTATATCTCCATGAGATGCAGACACTGTTTCATATTGAAAAGTCTAAATTTTACTCTTTAAATTCCTGTGTGTGTATCCTATGGTTATCTGTATGTATTATTTTCTATTATTCTAATAAAATTTATAATAATAAAATACTTCTGCTTTGTTCATTGTGGTTTGATAGAGGGAAGCATCCTCATGGGAAAGAGGGGGACCCATTAGAGTGGCACTGTTACTGCCATTCCTTACATTGTTTCAGTCAACATTTGCCTTTTGTTCATGCTCTACTGATTCAATAAAATCAGCAATTTTTTGATACAATGACTTCTACCTTCAGAATAATTCATAGTGAATCACAGGGCTTGATAGAAGAAACAGAAAAGTTGCCTAATAGATTTATGATGGCTAATTTCTTCTCACTGCATTTTGTGATGGGTAAAAACTCACAGATTTTTGACAAAAACAGTTTTGTGTGTTTGTTTGGTTGGTTGGTTTTTGTAGAAACATGATCAATGTACCACATTCTACATAGTCAGAGTATCAGAGTTAGACTTTACTTGAAATAATCACTCTGATATAGAACTTTTTAAATATTTATAAAACTTAATAATGATTCAGTTTTGAAGTTGTAAACAATTTCAAAAGTTAATTTTGGTGTAAGGAAAAAGAGAACAAAAGATAATCTAGTTATAGAAGAATTAAGGAGGAAAACTCTGTAAGATGATCTCTCTCTCTCTCTCTCTCTCTCTCTCTCTCTCTCTCTCTCTGCCCCTGCCCCCATGTGTGTGTGTGTGTGTGTGTGTGTGTGTGTGTGTGTGGTGTGTTTAAATTTAAGCCCAGTTGAGATGGCTGCATTACTGTCTTCTAATTAAAGGCAAATACCTGGAGAGGATATGGATAGAGATTTCTCCTTCAGCAGTCCTGATGTCCTGCTGATGGGCATGGAAGGAATAGAGGTCAGCTTTGCATGATACTTCTGCCAACTTCATAGCACCTTTATTAGTTGCTGATCATGGGCTCTTGCTCAAGTTCCAAAGCCCTGTTCCCTGGCTGAAGAATGCAAGAATGGCAGAATTCCCCTTATACAGCTCTGTCTTTGACAACTGTTTAGCCCCTTGGTGCAGAATATCCTGTTGTGTGAGCTTAAGCTGTTGACACTACCCACTTATGAGTCAGGAAGCTAGTAAGTTAAATGGTGTGTGCAACTCTTCTAGAGTCATACTGTTATCATTATCTCCATAGGTGGTAAATAATCACCATGGAGAAGAAAAGACCTCCTTCAGAAGGTAGTTTTATGTTTCTCTTTTAATTTCATTGTATTAAGGACAAGGTTGCATGATTCTAAGAGCTTTTAGAAGAGAAGAGAAGAGAAGAGAAGAGAAGAGAAGAGAAGAGAAGAGAAGAGAAGAGAAGAGAAGAGAAGAGAAGTGATTATGGAATTCACTTATTCTTAGCACAAATGTAATATCGTTCAAAGTTTAATATGTTCTGTAGATGAATTTCTAAATGGTCTTGTTAAATAAAAACACAGAGCCAGATAAACAGATGAAACCCTGGGAGAGATCTGGGAAATAGGGAAGGCCACAGCTAACCTTACCTCACCAACTTGGCACCTTCCAAATATGAGTTACTTTCTGTCTACCAACACCTATATACCTTGCTGTTCTGCCATCTGATTTGTTCTCTCTGTTCAGCTACATCAGTTCCTCTTCCTGCACTTCCTCTTCCTGCCCAGCTCTGTGACTTTCTGCCTGTCTGTATGGACCTCCAGACTTCCATGGTTAACTAGTATTGGAATGTAATGCGTGTGCCACCATGCCTGGCTCTGTTTCCAGTGTGGCCTTGAACACACAGAGATCCTGCCTGCCAAGTGATAGGATTAAAGGCATGTGCTAATATTGCATGACTTCTGAGTTGTGGCGGGCTTTTTCTGCTGATCTCCAGGCAAGCTTTATTCATTAAAGCCCAAATAAAATATCACCACATTTCATCACAAATAAAGTATCACCACATTTCCTGTTTTTTTTTGTCTAATAAAAAAGTTATAACTAATATAGGAAAAACTATATACAATAAGCACAATAACTATATACTATATATAAGCAATAAATATATCAACAATGCCTAGTCCATTTGCATCTGACAAATTCAGCAAAAATATTCCATTATCTATCCTATTTTGGTGAGTCCAAAATGTACCTAATTCACTTTCTATCCTATCTTGTATTTACCAACAGAAAACTATCTTATAATATCTTTCAAATTTATACACTTACCATCTCTTAGTAAGTTTCTTTTTTGAATTTCTTAACAAGAAAAACTGTAATTATAGCTATCTAATCTTCAACTCCCTCAGATACCTGAGAAGGAAATAATATTACCCAGTAAAACAGGAAGTGCAAACAAGCGACTTCCAAAAAATGAGTTATGACAGAAATAGCCAGCTTCCTGGACAGTCACCCGAGGTTTCTCTGTAACGCTGGGGCATCATCTTCAGCCTACAGGCTTAGCATATCTGACAGACTCATTTGTAAAGTAGTTTGTACACAAGGCCTACAGCTTGATCTCACATTCGGTGTGAGTATTCCATGTACCAGATAAACTTGAATTCTGCCAGAGTCATGTCATGATTCAGGATTTTTTTTTTTTTTTAAGATTTATTTATTTATTATGTATACAGCATATATGACTGCAGGCCAGAAGAGGGCACCAGATCTCATTACAAGTGGTTGTGAGCCACCATGTGGTTGCTGGGAATTGAACTCAGGACCTCTGGAAGAGCAGTCAGTGCTCTTAACCTCTGAGCCATCTCTCCAGCCCCCATGATTCAGGATTTTAAATTCTGGAAATTGCTGCTGTTTTTGGAATTCAGCTTCCCATTCTTCTCGGCTTGTGGGTGGCTTCATCTCCTTTAATAAATGCCAGTCTACCATTGAGAGGTTAAACTCCGTCAGTCTGTTTACTTCTCCAAGAATAACTGTTCCAGCTACTGTTCCACAGCACACCAAGAGCCATCAGGCCACTGCCTGTTCAGCTGCCTTAGAAGGAAGGTGCATTGTACCTTTTCTGGATTGCAAAGCCATTTTAGCGATGGTGCCATATTGCCCTGGCCTCAGAGTATACCTGTTACCAAAGTTGCAACTGCACTTGTCTTTGGCAAGGATTGGTAGTCCTTTGTTTTGTGTCCTGCTTGTCCATTTTGGACAGAATACTGTCAGCAATTGATGCAAGGGCACTTTCTTGCCCAGTGGCTAACTTTTGCCACAATGAAAGTTAACTCCATATGCAGTTTTCTTCAATGCCCATATCTTTTCTGAAGTAGATTGGTGCTGCCAGGAGCAAACATGGCTCATAGTCATAAAAAAAATCAATGTTATTAAAACATCTTAAATGCCACATTCTATAGATCTCTGGAGGATTTGAAGATGACGTGTGTATCTAAAATATATCTCTGTTTGACCTTAAAAACATACTTAATATGACTACAAGTTCGATTGTAATGTCTAACTACTGACGTTCATTTTTTTATATCCTAATTGTTGGTAATAACAACATTCAAGGATTAGCAAATAGCATTACATTGTTAAATGAACTGTATAGGTACAATATCTGGAACAAGATTAGAAATATATGTACAGCATTTTCTAACAAAATCAATCTCAAATTTGTATCAATATATATAATTTGTATACAATATACAAAAATCCAATCCAATGTAAAACATTTAAAACTAGGGAGGCAGAGCCAGGCAGATCTCTGTGAGTTCAAGGCCAGCCTGGTCTACAGAGCGAGATCCAGGGCAGGCACCAAAACTACACAGAGAAACCCTGTCTCAAAAAAAAAAAAGTAGTTGCTTTCTAAAGAGTAGATTCAATAATCTACTGTTTTATCTATATTCTCTTTTTTCTTTTTCTTTTTTTCCAAATTAGAACCTTAAATCTAATCTCCTTTGTTTATCCTCTTTCCTGACCATTAACAATAACAACTTGTTAACAACCATCCTAAACAATGACAATTATTCCAAACCCAAAACCCATTGAAAGACCAAAAACCACCTGCCCTACCTCTTGGGAATGTGGGTGTAGTGTTCTTAAATTGTTTTTTGCTGTTTGTGGGCAAAGGAATTTTTAGGGGATCCTGAAAAGAAAAATTTTGGATTAATTGTCAAGTCCTGGAAAAGATAGCTGTATCATTTTTTGTTCAGTCTCTGCATAATATAAAAGTGTAGGGCTTATCTCAAGTCCTTGTTGGAGTAGTCTGTGAGGTTGGATCATCTCAGCTAGTCATCTTGAAATTGTCCTGAGCAGTTTGTAGTCCAAAGCTGATCTTTGGGTGATGTTTGTCAGCTTAGTGGTATTATTATTGTCCACGTGGAATCGTCGTTGTGGGGCCCCATCATCTTTCTGGAGACTTCAATGTTCAAAGTTACTCGTTGACTCTCCTTGACACACTGAGTTAACCCTTCCATCATGTCACTAGTTAGGTCCCATGAAGCCCATTTCACAGATGATGAACAGTTAGCAATTTGTACCAGGTCCCCCTGTGACAGGCATAGTAAAATGCTACTCAATGTAATTCAGTTTCAACCTTTGAACATGAAGTGGGATGAAGCTCTTTGTCCCTCAGCATTAGACATACCAGGCTGGAAGGCCTAAGTCTCTCTGTTTGACTTCATATGGACTTTGTTCCTCCTCTATTGAATACATAATCAAGGAGCCTAAATATTCTGAATTAATTTCATTATACTTTTTCTTTAAAACTTTTGAAGATGGAACCAGTTGATTTTCAATCACTTTGCCACATTCAGTGAAAACCAACCAGCATAACTCAGTAAGATGAAGAAAATGTGAAGTGATTAGAATGTTACAGATTCTTCTTTTCCAATTAAAATCCCTCCTGCTGGTTCCTATTCCCACAATGCCAGCTTTTTATTTAAAATTAATCTTAATTGGGTTCATTCTTTCTAAAGCATTTACCCTTTTTAAAAATGAAAAAAAAATGTGGTATTCATTGTAATTTGGACATACTTCAGTAAATATTGGAAGTAAAACCAACCACAACAGCAATTATGAAATCAGCAATTAGTAAACTCTACCATTCTCTTGAAAGAAAATATGTAAACATATTTAGACTACAGTGCACATCAATCATTACA